CCCCCTGCAGAGAGACCAACCTGAAGTTTAAGCTGGGACGTCGAGAGACGGACGAGCGGCTGCAGAGCGAGCGGCAGCTGGTCGACTTCAATGGTGAGTTCATAACTACAAGCCCAGTCTATTTGCATAACGCTTAATCGGTTTAATAACTCAAAACAACGCGTCGCATGCAAATTAATTGTAAAATGTATATTTGTAAAACAAAATTCTTGGTTTATTCAAAGGAGTAAGTATCAAAGTAATTGAAAAGCTTTTTGAAACACACCAATTTCCATCAAGCGCCAATTAATACATAATAACCATGAGAATGTTATTTATGCAATGTGTACGATATGTGATTGGTTGGTACTTTGCTTCTACAACGTTGCATGTCTTAATGAATTTTGTTTTGTTATATTCGGTTCTTTTAAAATAAAAATGTAGTTTCAAGTACGTGTTATAAGGGTAGAACAGATTTTATTTACAGGTAGTCTGCCATACATTCTTTGTTAACTTTTACATATACACTGTTTCACAATTTGTTTTCCCCCACTGTGTTATTAATCAAATAGAAACATTAAATATGATTTAAGCCTCAGCCGCTGAAGGGAAGTTAAGGTGACAGTAATTGTACCTCACAGAACATGTAATAATGCAAAATAAATGACAAATCTTGGCAGTGGTAGTCCAGCAATCCCAGGTAAAATAACTGGAGTCTGGTGGCTTTTCACCATCTACTCTAGAACATCTAGAACATCCTCATACCCCTTCTTCACATCCCAACTATCCTTCACGGTTAACGCTGATGCCATTTATCCAGAGTAAATATCTGTACTGTCATGAGTTATTAACCCGATGCAGCCCGGAGATGAACTCTTCTGATTTGAATAGTTTAGAGTTGAATTAAAGCCACCCCCTCTCTTGTCTTTTTGTGTCTCCTTCAGCTCTGATCGAGTGCGAAGAGCCGAACAACCGCCTGGATAAGTTCATCGGGACGATGACGTGGGAGAGGGAGCGGTTACCTCTGGACCTCGACAACATGCTGCTCCGAGGCTGCACCATCCGAAACACAGAGGAGTGTCACGGCCTCGTCATCTTCGCAGGTGTGACTCCAAACGTGTGAAAAGAGAATTTTGTTACTGACCTTTGTTTTATAACTACACAGCTTTGTAATATTTTTGAATGATAACTGACGAATAGCAATGGCTAGTATTCACCATTTCCGTACTTGTCGTTGTAGGAGCCGACACCAAAATCATGAGGAACAGCGGGAAGACGAGATTCAAAAGGACCAAGATTGACGAGCTGATGAACTACATGGTTTACTCGGTGAGTTTAAAAAAAAAAAAGAAGAAAAAAAAAGACTCGGAATACTTTATTACTCTATTTTGCTTTTTGGGGGTTTTCCCTTTCCTGAACTGTTATATAGGTTTAAGCATGTAAATGGTCTGTAAAGGCAAACATTCAAAAGACCCCATCCAGAGGGAGTTTCTCTCCCACACTGCCCCCTGCCTGAAACATGTCTCAGTAGAGGGAAAAAATACAAACTTGAAAATGAATAAAATAGGGCCCCTTAAAGGTGGGGTAGGTAAGTTTGAGACCTTTACTCCACGGGGGAAATTGGGTTTCATTTTAGAATGAAATATTAATATGATGACTTTTTTTCATCAGTCGCCCGGTGTGTAACGGCTTGTTGTCTCCTGTAGATCTTTGCGCTGCTGATCCTGGTGGCGGCGGGGCTGGCCATCGGTCATGCCTTCTGGTACGATGAGATCGGCTCCAAGGCCTGGTATCTGTTCGACGGTAAAAATCAGGACGCCAACCACCGAGGCTTCCTCAGCTTCTGGGGCTACATCATCGTCCTCAACACCATGGTGCCCATCTCACTATACGTCAGGTCAGTTAAAACACACACATACATTTCGGTCTTGGTACAATCGGCTTTTGCACAGATCATGTAAACGCTCTACACTCAATGGGAATATACCACTAGTTCTATAGACTTCTATAGAATTTCACTGCTATAAGATCTACTGTAGGTGGAATGGCATTGTCACGACTCTCTGGGAAATGTGGTTTAATGTTTTATTTCTTACATCCAATAGATGACCTCATTCTAGAAAGTGTATTTCTTGTTTTGTCTCCAAAATATCAAAAGCTACATATGCTGGCTCCAGGCTGACTTGTATATCATTTTCTAAAGCAAATGAAATAAAAAAAAAAGACACAATTCAGTGGACTTTAAACATACTGCAACTGTCGCCACACTAGCTATCTTGTTAACCAAGTTCATAAGTTAGCAACCGAGAGGCTTTATAGTGTTAGTTTCCTCCTCTCTACCTGATGTTAGAAGGAACAACTGTCAAAATCCAACTTCTAAGTGTTCTCTCCTGTGTGTTTTTTGTGTTCAGTGTGGAGGTGATTCGCCTCGGCCAGAGTAAGTTCATCAACTGGGACCTGCAGATGTACTACTCAGAGAAAGACACGCCAGCTAAGGTACATATCTGCTGCTGTCGAATGATTTTTATTCTAGGCTTAACTCTGAATGTACCTGTTAGAAAAGGTTTAAATATTTAGGAGTAAAGACAGAATTATTCTCTGTGTGTTGACATTTACGATCAGCCCTGCTCCTTATCTCCCGTAAGGAATGTGTTAATCCAGTCGTATGTTGATACTAGGTTTTATGGCCTGACCTGGTGGGCACAGGGGGGGTTTTACCACTGTGAGAACGCTGGCTTTCTAAGCTCCACAGATGTGAGAGACATCTCCTGTGTGTGCAGATATTTACGCCCATCCCTAATATGTGGATTTGACTCTCTGAACTAGTTAAAGGGTCTACCAAGATGCGAGGCTGATCAGAATTGACATGGCAACCCACCCGTGCAGTCAGAACCTTTTGCTGCTGTAGCTTGTGATGTGAATTCTCCGGCCGTTGACTTGTAATAAACATCATTGTTTGACATCAAAGCTCCAACTCTCCTCGTGTCTCTCTGAGTCCTGACTCTCCATTGCTGCAGAGGTTTCCCTTACAGTACCCAATCTTTATTAATAGGGATGTGTTACTGACATGCTCTAAACTTCTCGGTTTGCTGCAGATCACCCGCAGGCTATTGCACCATATCCTGCAGATTTTTGATTTGTATTATTACTATTATACACTGACAACAAAACGGCTGTAAAATGAGAAGGTTTGGGCGCTGCCTGGTTTTGGAACGACTGCGTCTGGGTCAAACTCTTTGTTATTGTTCAGCTCATCAATACACAAAAATACATTATGTTACCAACAACTAAAATAGGCAGTACATGATCAGAATCCAATTTAATGATGATTAGCGGGGCAGTTTAAACACAACACGTATACAGTGATTGACACATATTGCTAAAAGACTCCTCAACTCTATGTGGGTGCACTGGAGTCTTCCAGATGTCATTCGGAGAAGGCAGAGGAACATGATTTGTCACAGATTAACGGTTTCAAGCACAATATATACAAGTGCTTATCATCACGTTCAATATTGATTTAACATCCGAGATTCTGAACTGCATTCGCTGCTAAAAAGCATGAGATGTAGTTAGAAATGTTCAGTAAAGCTTGTAAGAGGACTTTGATTTGAAGTTATTTGGTCAAACTTAACTTTTTTGTTTCCTGTGTGCAGGCTCGAACAACCACCCTGAACGAGCAGCTGGGTCAGATCAGCTACATCTTCTCCGACAAGACAGGAACTCTCACACAGAACATCATGGCGTTCAAGAAGTGCACCATCGCCGGACGCAGCTACGGTACTGACATGCTTCATTTCACACAAACACAACAATAGAGATCACATTTTAGTGATTTTTGTTTCACCCCTATGTATATTCAAACTCTCACTACAGCCTTTCTTGAAGGAATACACCCCCTTTACTATTACTGAAATATAGGGTTGCAAAATTCCGGGAATTTTCAAAGATGGAAACTTTCCACGGGAACAAACGGGAATTTATGGGAATAAACGGGAATTTTCTAAATTAAAGGTTGGCTCTTCGTAGGGAACTTAAACATAGTTGGGGAAAATGTATATTTTAGCATAATCTTGACTAAAACAAACGGATGCTTTTCAAGTACTTGAATATCCATGCCATAGCACACTGCTTACTGCATGGCTATTGAGACCACACAAAGGTTTGCAACAGGCTCACAAATGTGAGAGTGGAAAAACTGGTTGGCATTCGGGCAAACCTAAGGCTCTTTGAGCCGGACACAGAGCCATCCTCAACAAGGCTGGACAGTGACACTGAAGAGGAAGACTCAGAGTGTGAGGTTGATGAGGCCCAGGAAGAGCCCGTTGACTGAAAGGGTTTAGCAAAAATGCAGAGGATTGCTTGAAGGAAGATTTGGATGTTTAATGGACTTTTTGGAGGGAGAAGGGCTCGTTTCATTTAACATTTTTGAATGGGACTTTGTGGGGATCTTTGGATGGGGGGTGCATTTTTGTTCATTTTTTTTTAATGAGTGGGGTTTGGGTGGATGAGTAACATTTAACTCAACATTCCTGTTTTCGTTCTTCAATGAAACAAAT